TTTGGTTTTGTTCTTGACGAAGAACTTAGGAAGCATTTGGAATGTTCCAAATCTTGAAAAAGAGGATAATTTTAAAAAGTGATGATGATTCTTAAAGGAAAGAACAATCCAATATAATTCTGTAGGAATAAAGATCGGCTCAAGGGAATTGTAACCATATCAGACTGTTTACATAGTCAGTCATCTCTGAATTCCTTACGTGTCAGCTTTGCTCAAATTGTCCTGCTTTTGAAAACCTTGTTTAGCGATTTCAAATAAAGATATATCCCCCTTAAAATGTCATTCATAAACCTGCTTAGCTGTATTTTTCTAACGTTTAATGTTTTTCTTTGGCTTCATTATTAGTTTATCAATTTTAAACATCTTCCCATAAAGTTTTCTATAACGTTTATGTGGCAGGTAACATGGACACACCTGTGGCTCTGGAACACATACAAACATGCAAACATGCACACACCATGCCTGCAGATGCCCCCAAATTGTGGACGATCTACACTTCCAATAGCTCATTCCAAAGAAAGAAAGAAAGAAAGAAAGAAAGAAAGAAAGAAAGAAAGAAAGAAAGAAAGAAAGAAAGAAAGAAAGAAAGAAAGAAAGAAAGAAAGAAAGAAAGACTATTGTGCTAACACATGGCCTTCCATGTTCATTCAGTTTTCAAAATGACAGTATAAGTGAAGTTGTGGAGAGCCATCCCCTCCAATTGCTTTAGTCAAAGTGCTGCCTTCCATTGTCATACTATTTAACCCTAGATGGGATGCACACATCTTGCTACACCACAGCTGGAGAAGAAAAAGGGAGGCATTACAATGTGACAACCTGCCCTGGTTGTTAATAATAATAATAATAATAATAATAATAATAATAATAATAATAATCATCATCATCATCATCATCATCATCATCATCATACTTATGGTGACCCTTTCCAGGGTTTTCTAAATAGAGAAAATACAGAAGTGATTAGAGCCAGTCATATATATATACACACAGCACAAATTCTAATATTCATTCTGACCATAAAGACACACACACACACACACACACAGAGAGAGAGAGAGAGATTTTCCTGTGCTACTTAACAGCTGTATTAAAAATCTGGAAATTATCATTTAGGGATTGTGAGTGCTGTGCTGCTGATCTTCTATGATCTTCTATGCCAGCTCTCTTCCTCCATTTTGAGTACATCAAGAGAAGCCAGGCAGCAGACAGAGTGATGCCTGAAGTCAGTAGGTGAGAATGAATAAACTGAAGTCAAATTCTGAAAAGATGAAAAATGTTATCAGCAGGTGGTTCCCAGTTCTGGGAACTGACCGATGACCTTTTTGGCGTGGGTGTAGCACTCTTCCTGACAGAACAAGTATGTGCTTTGGGCGTACCCTCTCAGTTCAGAACTGTCAGAGGAAGGCAGAGGGTCTCAGTGGCAAGGAAGGGTTATGACCAGCTAAGGTTGGTGAGTTAGCTGTGGCCAGAGTAATCCGGCCACAACACATTTGGATTAGTGCAATGTGATATTTCCAAAGGAGAGACTGGTGCAGAGAGCTGTCAGCCATGTGGTCACAGGGACACTGAATATATTATACACATTCAGTCACAGATGTCTGGTTGCGTGACTGGCAAGTGATTAGGCATGCAACCAGCACCCTGTTAATTAGCTGGATGACTTAACCATGATTTAGCATGCATTCACCTGCCCTGAGCTAAAATCGTAATAGGATTCTGGCCAATGTACACTAGTTACCAGTAACAGGTTCCTTACTTTTGGAATGAGAGCTTCACAAAGCTATATTTCAAAAGCAATACAACAAGTGGGAACAAAGGTATAACTGGGAAAGTTTGTAATAAGGAACATGGTATCAAGAAAGCCTACCAAGATTAAATGAAGCAGAGATGACTTTAGCTTCACTCAGTGGCCTCAAATTTGCACCTCGCCCCCGCATCCCTGTATAAGGTCTCTGAGATGGCAGTGAGAATGAAGTGTTTCCAGATGTTGCTGGGCAGCTTAGAGGCATGCATACTTACACGTATGTACACCTCTAAGCTGCCCAGTAACATCAGACATAGTAGTCCTTGAAACTAAAAGGTTATGCATTTCTCTTACTGGACAGATCATTTTAAATCCACATGAAAATCATAACATGAACAATTACTGAAAGCTTGATGAAAACAGGCAGACAGGAACTACCATTCCCACTACATAATCCTAGTTTTCAACAAATAAAAGTAATAGAAAACTAAATAGAATTACACACTGATATGTAGATGTTAAAGACATATAATACCTTTATTTCAAGAAGGCAATATGCTACCTAAATATTTAAAGCATATTAACAACTGCAGGGGAATGAAGCTTTGTTCAGTAAAATATCTGTGGGTTATTGTTGAACTTCTGGAGTGGGATAAAAACATGTTTGAAGATATTTTTAAAAGATAGAACAAATGCTATGCATCAATAAAAAAATTAAAATATGGGCAATGTACTGAAGAGCTAGATAAACTGGCTGCAGATGGCATTCTTGTAAAAGGTCTCTTTCTTACTGCCATATTGCAACATTTCGAACAGAACAGATATTTTTATAGGGATTTATAAATTCACTGCAAGAAGCAGCTAAACTACATTCTGGTATCGATTCCAGGAGGTAAATAACAATGCTGGGGAGGAGAGCCTAAAATGTCTATTCTTAAGCTGTCCAAACCAATCCAATTCAAAAATCACAAAGGGCCGTGTGGAACTGAAACAATAAAGAACAAATTACAATACAAGTTCTAATACCCATTCTGACCATGAACAATATTCCAGGAAAAAAGCCAAGAACTGTAACTACTTAGGAAGCCAATCCAATGACACGTCACACAGTCTTGAATGGCATGGACGTAAGAGCCACACAATCTGTGCTGAATCTATATTGATGGCACCAACTATTCTAGGCAGTAAACTATGCAGTGAGAAAACAGATTGGAACACCCTCCTCCACTAAACCAGCCCAGGCCATAACCACACCTACAGGAGAATGCAAAGTGAATCTGGAGTGATTTTGGTCACTGTGTGTGATGCAAGCCCTGAGGCAGTTTTAAAAGGATGCCAAATGCTATTGCACACTCTTTAAAACCATACCTGGGCTTCTGTCACCAATCAGCCAGAGCTGGGAGGCTTCCCACTACGGATAGCACCAAGTGCGGGAGCTGCACCTCAGACAAGAGCAGTGTTGCTCCCAACCTGTGCTGGGAAGCTTCCTGGCTACCTTGGCACCAAGACGCTGGCAATGCTGTTATTGCTAGTGGGGGGAAAAAACCCTCCAATGTGTAGTTCCTGCCCTAGTTTTCCAGTCACAGTGGACTAGGTAAGGGTAAAGGTTCCCCTTGACAATTTTTGTCCAGTCGTGTTCGACTCTAGGGGGTGGTGCTCATCCCCGTTTCCATGCCATAGAGCCAGTGTTTGTCCGAAGACAATTTTCCGTGGTCACATGGCCAGTGTGACTTAGACACGGAACGCTGTTACCTTCCCACCGAGGTGGTCCCTATTTATCTACTCGCATTTACATGCTTTCGAACCACTAGGTTGGTGGGAGCTGGGACAAGCGACGGGCGCTCACTCCGTTGTGTGGATTCGATCTTACAACTCCTTGGTCTTCTGACCCTGCAGCACAGGCTTCTGCGGTTTAGCCCACAGCGCCACCACGTCCCTAGCACAGTGGACTAGATGGGATCAAAGTAGTGAAGCCCAAAGCCTCTACAGAATTCACAATCCAGTATTTATTCTCTGCAATAAATAACAACACAGAAAAAGAGCACCAAACATAAGTTGCTGAAACACTCCAATTCAATACTGATTGGAGATACTGGTCCAGTTCAGATGTAACACTAAATGTTACATTTAGTGCTCTGGCATGACCTCAAGGAGGAGAATAGAAACATCCACTTACAGATTTATACTAACCACATTTTGTTATTACCTCTGAACCTGGGCAAACTCTTGTTAGCATATAACTATGGCTTACTGAAACAAAGGCAAGAACAAGCTGGGGATTCTCATCTCCATTTGTTTCATTAAATGGCTGTTGAAACTAGATGTGATTCCTGGCTCAGATGTAACAAAATACAATGAGTCTCAGCCCTCAAGTGCATGCTTTCAAGTTCTACCTTGTGGCTTTGGTGAGGAGCAGGGGTGTAGAAGAACTCACAACTATGCCTCAGCACAGGGATGCGGAAAGTCTGGTCCTCCAGATGATGTCGAACAACAACTCCAATCAGCATGAGACAGCACAGTCTGAAGCAAACCATTGTATCAAAGTTTTCACTGTGGAGTCATTTGTAGGGATCAATGTATACATCAGTTGAAGGAATGAAATGGAATTCCTCACTAAAGGGTGGGTGTTTAGGATCCTGGGACCTTGGCTAATTATGTATGAGATAGATGGATGACTAGGGAGAGACAGAGAGACAGACAATCCTGTACAGAACAAATCCTTACTTCCTCTTTTACTACCACTGGCCACAGCCAAGTGCTCATTCCTAGTGTTAGTTCTGGTTTATGGCAGAAGTGACACCAATTTTCCTTCATTATGCTCTTCCTCTGAGAAAATGGCATGTGCCTGAGGATGTGTCAGAAAACTTAAGTAAATTTTATTCCCAATCTGCACTCTTGCATGTTGCAATCTTGCGCCTTTTGCACCTGTTCAATTTTCTCCTAATTTTTCTGTCTCTTGTCTCTGTTTAGTCAATGTTCTGGAATCTGTCTCTCTCCTCACTTGGGCTTAGCACGGTGGCATTCCACAAGTTCTGCCTCCAGCGCTTGCACGCACAGCATAGATATCCACTGAGGGACATTGCCTACATTTACTCAATTGCATGCACAAAGGCTCCAGGAGAGCACAAATTGGTCTTGATTCTTTTTTGGGACGTGTGTGAGGGACTTAAACAGCATTTCCTTAAATTAGGGAGAGAAGCAGAGGATGCCAATCAACACTGTGCTCCTGCCAACGTTACCAGTCAGCAATAGCTTTTGGAGCTGTTCACAGCTCTTAAAACTCTTCTGTTTCCTTGAACATTTTTGACATGTAAGACTTTAACAGACTAGAAGAAAGGTTTGCATATATGAAAAAGGATGATGTTGATGGAGGAGGAGGTAAAGGTCTTTGTCTTCTCTCTAAGAAGGTGAAGGCAAGTGTGTAGGATGTTGTGTGACCTGCCACACCAGCTGGGGGGAGGAGACAGTCTTGCTTTCTTCTGTATATATAGGTGGGCTGAGTTTGCAAAGTCTTGAGTCTTCAAGCCTTGTCACTGTTACTGTACTCAGGAAGATTTCCTCTTTCACAGCCATGAAGCCAGTTCACAGCCTTCTGCTCCTCTCCCTGTCAACTTGCTGCTACTCTGGTAAGCTCCAATCATGTCACTTGTATGAATCTTTGTCTCAAAACACTGTAGGCTCAGAAAAAAAGAACAAATTCAGTTTAGTGCAAGCCAAGACAGGGGATAGCAGCGAAACAGAGCAGGACCTCTCACTTTCTTGTTAAACAAGCTTGTAAACTCACAGAGGAAAGGGTAAAGACGTCCACTTGAATTCAGCTACCAAAGGATATTCTTCAACAAACCAGGCAAAAAGAATAGACAGAACAAAGGAGAACAGGCAAAGGAAGAAAGGTGACTAGCCATGCATTTGTATTTTGAGAAAGAAGGTGGCAGAAGGCGTTTCTGGTTTTTTAAGATGAAAGCTGCAGGTCTAAGTATATTCACTAAGCATAAATGACAGTGGAAGCATGTTAGCCTTATGAGTAAATGTGGGCATGATCAGAAGATTGAGAGTATTACTATTTTAAAAAATCTTCCTTCTCATTTGTATTTTGAGAAAGAAGGTGGCAGAAGGCGTTTCTGGTTTTTTAAGATGAAAGCTGCAGGTCTAAGTATATTCACTAAGCATAAATGACAGTGGAAGCATGTTAGCCTTATGAGTAAATGTGGGCATGATCAGAAGATTGAGAGTATTACTATTTTAAAAAAAAATCTTCCTTCAGGGATTTGAGACATACAGTGGGCTACGAGGAAGATCCAAAATCAGTGGCAGCTGGTGACTCCAGTTTTAGGGATGCTGTGAATCTATTCTGAGTTTTAGTATGCACTTTATGGAAGTTATTGAAGGCACTGATCCCTATGCCCCAAATAAAATCAGTGGCAGCTGGTGACTCCAGTTTCCGGCTGTGAATCCATTCTCACTTTTAGTATGCACTTTATAGAAGTTATTGAAGGTACTGATCCCTATGCCCCAAATAGGTTTATCACTTCAGACAACCCCTGTAAAGCTAAACTCCTAAAACTCAGAGTAGCTTCAGAGCAGCTCCGGAATGAGAGTCACCCGCTGTAATTGTGCAAGTTTTGATACTGCAGTTGCAATGTTTTTGGTTTTCTTTAACACTACCAGGGAGGGTTCTTTGTTTTATCAGAGCAGTTGCAACTACAGAGTACAGCTCTCTAAACCAGATCTAAATCAAGCCCTCTCCATGACACCCCAGAAAGAGTAATGTACGTATATTAATGAAATAATATGTAGGAGGAGAGAGAAAATCTGTCCCACCAGTGCTCTGAACAACCTGCCAGTTCTCCAGAGCCACATTAAAGGGTAGTTTTTTAAAGCAAATATCTTCTGTTCTTTCCTACATAGTCATTTTCTTCCATTACAACAACCTTGTGAGGTAGACTGAGAGACAATGATTGATTCCATGTCATCCAATGACATTAGAGGCTAAGCAGGGATTTGAACTCAGGATACGAGGTCCTAATTCACATCTCTAACTACTACACCACACTGGCTCCCTTTTCCATTCCAAAGTGAATGGGGTGGTGGAAGCAAAGGAGATGGAGACCCGCTAATATGGGCAACAAAGACATCACTCATAAGGTCACGTTTCTGTTGAAGGCTTTCAGGGATCTTCTTACCATATGTTCTTTATAACTGGAAAAAGATTTTTTTTTTAAAAAAAAATACAGGATAGCTGGTGAGGAAGTGCAAAGGTGCAGACAGTTCCCAATGTCTGCCAAAATGGAGGAGGAGTCCCCCTTGTGGGCTCATAAGTCCATGAGGCTGGAAGACACAATACTGAAACTTACATGACTGAAGAAGGTAAAAAGAGTAAAGAAGGGTTTCTGGCAGGTAATATTCCTTGCCGAGGGTGCTTTGTGTCCACTGCCCATTTAGGTTCCATGTTCAGTGTGTGCGTGGTAGTGAGCCAGTTGCTGTGCTGAATTTATAAAGCTATATCCTGTTTCCAGCCATTATTGCTATTGTTCATTTTAAAAATCAAAGGTTTGGGATAAAAAAATGTGTGTAAAATTTCTCCGCCTTTAAAATCTCTCTTAGCTGTTCTTGCTGTCTTTTGCCTTTCTTATCTCGCTCAGTTTCGTTTGTCTGCTCAGCTGTGGGGACCGTTATAAATACTGGCCTTTTTAAGTCAAGAGATGAAATTAAAAGGGAACTTTCTAAGTACTCGACCGATCCTGATGCCCTCAACGCAGCACTCAAGATGAGAGACTGTATTGCCACAATGTCACTTCTTGATAAACTGGCTCTGCTGACTCTACTGGTAATTATGTTTTTCTGTTCTTTTTTAAAAAAATCAACCTCCCCTACTTTTTCAGTTCAGTGCTACCACTAATGGATTCTCAAGGCAGTTAATGCAGACACGTATTGTTGATCTCAGGAAATTTATCTTAGTGCACACAAACTGAACTTGAAAGAGTGTAGATTTCCTAGGGCTTCTTTGGGCTCAAAGAACAAGCTTCCTAAGTGTTTATACTGTAGGCTAGGGCCACACAATCTTTCCAAGCCTCAGGGTGGGCGGAGGTCTTGGGGAGCTGCCCGTGTGCATGCACCCAGCACATAAAACATGCACAGCCACAAGGGTAGAGTGGAGGACCCCACTTTTACCCACTCTACACTTCCTAGGGTGGGCAGAGAGGCTGCTTCAGGATCACTAAGAGACAGAGAGCATTTACCCTCCTCCTGCTTCCAGTTGCAGCTCTGGGCATTGATGGTTTTGGCACCTTCATTGGCAACAATGTGGGCTAAACCACAGAAGCCTGTGCTGCAGGGTCAGAAGACCAAGCAGTCGTAAGATCGCATCCACGCGACGGAGTGAGCGCCCGTCGCTTGTCCCAGCTCCTGCCAACCTAGCGGTTCAAAAGCATGCAAATGCAAGTACATAAATAGGGACCACCTCGGTGGGAAGGTAACAGCGTTCGTGTCTAAATCGCACTAGCCATGTGACCACGGAAGATTGTCTTCGGACAAAACGCTGGCTCTATGGCTTGGAAACGGGGATGAGCACCTCCCCCTAGAGTCGAACACGACTGGACAAAAATTGTCAAGGGGAACCTTTACCTTTACCTTAAGCAACCAAAAGTCTCCGCTAATTAACAGGCTTCTCTGGATTCTTTTGGCTCATTGACATTGGGCAAATTGTGTCATCTCAAGAAGGTTAAGGAGTGGAGAACCAACATCACAGCTCATGAGCCTTCTTATTGGTGGCAGCAACTCAGACCTGGAAGTGGGGCGAGGGGGAATCCATTGAGTCTCAGCTTGAGGCTTCTGGTTTTTGCTGCAGGCAGGTTGTACTGGGGGTCCTACGTTCCCCTATGCCCCCTCAACCCCCCCCAAATTGAAATCAGAAATTGCTGCCTAGTTAGTACCTTTTCTGAATTTTTTTTTAAAAAATGGCCATTTTTTCCACTGCTGCTTCTATTATTTCCAAGCCTAGTGTGGCCTGGGGTAGATGCTGGGGGCCAAACTGTGGTCCCTAGGCTCCACCATTGTTACTCACCCTTGATTTAGACATTTCACAGAAGTAAGGCAAGTCACTGGTTTTCATGGAAGTGCATTTTGTTGACTACTGGGGTGTGCCAACCCACTACAAGATGCACATTCAGGAGAGTATCCACTTGCTCAGTGAGAATCCTCCAAGACCACCAGCTACTCTGAAATTTTGTCAGAGCAAGAGGGTCTACTCATTGCAAACCCTGCTAGAGCCACGTGCCTATTCATCTGTACCTTTCAAGCACATGAGCAGCACTGATGAGAGCGAGGAGAAGGAGTTGCAACTGTAGACCTTGCCTTCTTTTGTTGAGCAGCTGCGAAGCTTAGACCCAAAAGGGAGGTCAAGTGGAAGGGCAGTGATGGCTGCCATCTTGCCCCAATCAGGAACCAGTTTCAATTTTTCCCCATTAATACACACACATACCTTTCCCTTTTAAGCCACATTTCCAATTGCGTATGTCAAGTGATGTATTGCTCCACAGCATTGCCCTTGTTCTACAACATTTAAGCCTATAAAACTGCACATTACACATAGAACAAACTGAGCCAGCAACAAATGAGTAAGTCCAGTGGTTTTCCACTGGGAGTCAGTGACATGTATATAGCACTACAGATATCCAGGCATCCAATATATGAGAGAAAGCATGCATGCACACCGACAGACACACACCTCTTTCTAGGTCCCTGCATATTCAGGGAGGTAATTGTAGTGCTAAAGGTGAGATCTGGAATAACTTGCCAATGCCAATCTATTGGTTATGTAGACCTGTTTTGGTATACTGTATAAGGAAGACTCCTGCACATTACACTGAATTTTCTACTGCTTATTTCATTTTAGGGAGAAATAATGCTCTCGTGCTGATAATTTCACAAACCTGAATTATCAAAGGAAACTGTGATTACACCACAAGCTGACCACTAACAGCAGATTCTGAAAAATGCTGATTGAATGATGTATTCTTTCATTTTCTGCCTTCCCAGATCAAGGAACTCTCACTTTCCTCTAGACCATATTCAATGCATTTTATGAAACTAAGAAATGTCTCTTATAGTATTCAAGAGTTCAGGTTGTTTCATTAAATACATTGCTTTGCTTTCTCAGTTAATGCATTGAGCTCATTGTCTTGTATTCACTGGTTTAGTGTAAATTTAGAGATTGAGACATTTGGTTTTCCCCTCTTCTTTTCTGCTCTTAAATTCAAGATGACTGCCATCAATTGCAACAAGACAGTCAAGATTTGGCAAAGTGACACTGCTAGGAGGTTGCCTTTGCCATCTATCCTGAGCCTTGAAGGTTACCTCAGAGAACAATTTCTGAGTGTTTGTGCAGACTATTTAATAGAGGCTTAGGGAAGCATAACCCACATGTAACTGTCTAACCAAACATCAGAACTGGATTAGTTAAACAAGAATTAAGTATTCTTGACAGGCCAATACAGTTTTCTTTCCACATGCAGGGTTAAATTTCAGAGTATTTCTGTAATCTGGAATCCCCATTTTAAAAAATTGATTAAATATTTGCTATAATCCTAGTTACCTCTTAGATGTACAGCTCCCATCCAACTGTTGTTTCATTATTAACATTCACACTAGCTTCAGCCACCCTGGCTGACATGAAGGATGGCAGGAGTTGTAATTTATTAATATGTCAAAGGCCAAATGTTTCCCATCCCCTGATGTGCTGCTATCCAGAAAAGGATATGTTGTAAAGCAAAGCCATGCGTGCTGCTTGATGCCGCTTAGAATTTAATTATACAAATTAAACATTGACCCCCCACCACCCCTAAGCGCTGGGTACTCAAGCTTATCAACCTTGGAAGGATGGAAAGCAAGAGTTAAACTCAAGTCTCAACCCAGGATGGAACTCAAGTTGTGAGCAGAGACTTGATTGCAGTACTGCAGTTTAACCACTGTGCTATGAGGCTCCTACAGTCCAACTTCACAGTACAGTGAAAATGATTCATTTTATTTATTCACTTACTAATCCTCCATTTAGCCTGGGTGAAGTTCTCAAGGTGCCTCCCAATAGAAATATACTGTAACAATGTCTAAGTGTGTGAAATATTTAAATATTTTTAAAAATCACTAGCCGAAAGGCAAGACATCAGAGGTACAGAAAGTTCTACAGAAATGCATTAAAATGAAGTGTAAATGTTCTGTGCTAAAGAAGTGTGCTCTCAAGACAACTTCCATAGCCTCCATCTGACTCCTTCCTGGGCACTCCCATACCAAGATAAGCAAGAGTAGTGTGGCTGAGTAGCTATAGAGCGGGAGTCTTGACCTGGGAACCATGGCACAATAGGAGCAACACATATTACAGTATTGTACATAATATATATTGTTAGAGAAATCATTAAAGCCTGCATTCATGATAAGCAGCAGAGAAGAAATTATATTTGTAATCCTGTATATACTAAGTCTCCTTGAACGTCTCAGAAAACAGATACTGTACAGGATTGTCCTTGAAATTATTTGTGCTGTCTTGACGTATACAATTTCAATCATTTGATAGGCCATTGAAACACAATGGATTTTCACTGAAATATATCTTCTGAAAGCTCCACTTAGCACCATGTCAAAGGCAACTGCAGCAGCCCAACAGGTCCACAGAATATTGAACCTCCCTGTGCTGCCTGGTGTTGTCGCCAAGGTGTGCAATGCTGAGCTTGACAAGAAAGCAAATGTAGGGTAAAACAGCATGTTTATGGTGTGTGTGTGTGTGTGTGTGTGTGTGTGTGTGTGTGTGTGTGTGTGTGTCCCCATAACAGTGGGGAATAAATAAAACAGGAAAGATTCTGCAAAGATTTTTCAGGTGGTACAAAGCCTAGTTGACATACAGTAATTTGTGCATACTACATTGTGCATACTACATTGTGCACAATGTACTTGGCTGCGTATTTCCACATAAAAGCTAAATTAAAGCAAGCACCCCCAGTCAGACAACCATGAAAGCAGGCAAAGCAGGGATATGGACTTCTATGTCCAACATGATTGTTGCTGCCTTCACAGGTTAACAAATAAATATAAGTAGATGGAAAAGAGATTCTCTTGACCATTTTGCAGAGGTAGGAAGTAGCTCCTTTTCCTGCTTTCACTTACAGTATAATCATAAGGGAACTACAGGGTTTTCTGGTGTGCAGTTCAGCGACAAATATGCGATTCAAAAAAAAATGTGCAGTTGGAAACTGATAGATAAACCCTGTTGCATCACTATTAGAGCCATCTCATTTCTTCTGCCTTGATCTGTTCAGATAGGGAATGATGAATATTATCTAGCCTATTATTCTTTTCACACAATAGTACTAGGCAATAAGTTACCCATGGGCACCTAACAGGGTATACATGCACCCTTTGTTAACCATTCGCAGCAACAGAGGGCAGGGCAGACATTATAGATAGGCCACAAAAATATTAGTGTTGGAGATTGTGAAGATGCAAGGGTTAATCATTCCCTTGAGTTTGCAAAGATACTGAGTTGGATAAGAGAAAAGAAGGCACCTTCCAATTAGTGAACCTACTTCAGCTAGTGGGAAGAATTATTTTTAAATCTGCATATTCTTTTGAATTTTTTAAAAATTAAAATACATAATAAAGTTTTGTAGCTGTGATTTGACTTAGACAGCCTAAGGGGCTGGTGGTACTAAAGAATACTGCCTTGCACTTAGAAGTCTTTTTGAGTACTTTTTTTGGGTTTTCTACCTTACAAGGTTGACTTACAGTCAGAAGCAACAACCTGAAAGTTTTGTTCTTCCTTGAGTATCAAAAGAGCAAGTGATTAAACAGGAGGCTTCCCCAGTCCCTAGCATGCTGAACCCACATGGCAAGCACCCACACCAGGTTAAGCAAGGGTAGTGTGGCCAAGTGGTCAATGGATCCCCTCCGTGGTGCCCCGGCATCCTTCACAGAGATGACTGAAATAGTCTTTAGTGTTTGAAGAAGTGGACTAAGAAGGCATTGTGTGATGAACTCCCAATGGCCAGCCACAAGACAAAGCAGACTCCATTGCATACTGGAGAGGTGAGAGATGCGCTTCCTCTGACATTTAAAGACAACCAGCTTTTGAGGATTTTATTCTTCCAATCAGGGGCTTCCTATAAAGTTAATTTTTGATGTGACGTACTGAGGCATATTTGCTCCAGCACTTGTTGGTGTATAGCGTGGATGGCTCCAAATGTCATGAATTTATCACGCTCCTTTTTAAAGCCGTCCATGTTTGCAGCCAAGATCATGACCTCTCACAGCCATGAATTCTCACAGCCTAATTCATTACAGAGGCCAGGCTTTCCCAGCCATACCTTATATTCCAGTACACCAAGTAGAATATGAAAGGCAAATGTTTCTGTGACAGTTTCATGAAGGTTTTTTCTCAAGGCCACGTGGTAGGGCAAGCTAAATCCTTCCAAACAGAGTTCCATCTTCTTCTCAAACCAGCAATGAAAGAAAGTGAAGAAGGCTTCACATGGATAACAAGGTTTGTCTACATAAATTAAATACACAAAGACCAAAAAAAGTGAACTAATTTTTTGTAATTTGTTAAAAAAGACTTATCCCCCCCCCCCATCTCCCTTCTGTTTCATAATGGCAGAGTTAGCATTTCTGAGTACACCAAGTAGAATATGAAAGGCAAATATTTCTGTGACAGTTTTATGAAGGTCCTTAGAATGAAATAGCACCTGGAATCTGAAATTCAAGGATGCACCGGTTTGAATGATGGATGTTCCCATTTAAAATTTAGCAAAAGACGTGAGGCCTGCCATTTAGAGATAACACTGAATGCTGTCATACAGGATTCCTGAGGTTGCTCAGTCCTTATGACCTTCTGGGGAATACCTTGTTCCCCAGCATGCAACAGATGGGCTGACCTTGGCCAAATCCTTTCACCCATCCCCTTCACTGTTGTGTTTTTTGGATACACCTTGTACAAGTGTAAAACAATGAGGTTTTACATTTTTTGTCATTGAACTGTTTATGTTGACAAGCGGATCGTCTATGAGGATTCATAGTGCCTAGTGATAGCACAGAGGTTGGATGTCATAGAGCGGAACACAGCAACAGAATTCTGCCAATAGGGTTAGTGGGAGAAAGCAAACTCATACAGCTAGAGGAAAGACCATTCTCAACCAGGACGTCTCCCCTGCAGTTGTATACAGGAGGCCAAGGCACTGCGTGTCTCTTGGATCACACTGAACATTTTGTGAGCTACAGCCTAGTGATTTTTTTCCCACGCTTTTCTTAGCATCTACAGTGCACAGTCTCTCTGAGGAATTACCCTCCTTCAAACACAGAAAGAAAATACAACAGCAACCGGTAATGATGGCTTTGATACCAGAGCTCAGTCCTCTACTGTGTGTCGTAAGAAATGCCTCTAAATATGTGCAGAGCCTTCCCTCTGTACATGTCTTTACTCCTAAGCAGTTCTGAATGCTAGCACTTCTCTTTATAGGAATGCTCAGCTGTCATCCGGCCTGTTTTTGCTCTGTTTCTCAATTCTAGTAAAAGATATATAGGAAATGCTTCTGGTTCCTCTTCCTTCTTGAAGTGCATTCACTGGGGAAACTCTCAAGAGATTGCTTGCCTTACTGTAGAAATGGTACAATATAGGTTGCTCTGCTGACTTTCTTGGGCATAAGGGTCAATTCAATTTTACTTACTACTTCATAGGCATTTATAACAAGGTTAATGGATATGTGGTTCTCCAGAGCTTGCTGGATTTTGAGATTCCCTCTATACCTGTCACCATGCCCAGCTGTGAAGTGTGATGGAAGTTAGAGGCCATCTGTATCTGAGATTGCTCTATTAAAAGTCCTAATGTAGCCTGCCAACCTGTATTGGCATACACAGGTTGAAAGTCTTCTCAGATATTTCATAGGAAACTGTGTCATGCTTCCTCGTGAATTAAAAATTGTTTATCGTTGTTCATTTAAATCTATCCTCATCTCCCCTCTGTTTCATGATGGCACAGTTTTTACCTATTTTTCATCTTTTGCACCCATGATATCTGTGCGTCCAGATGAAATGACACAAGGAACAGAAGGAGGATGAAGATATAATTCTTTCATTTTTAACACATTTCCTATCACCATAACTCTGACAATCTGTTCCAGTTTTCAGTCTAAACTTTAAATGAGCTTTTTCAAGGGGCAAACCTACCCCAGCAAAACCCTTGTAAACTGTGAGGTGAGCAAATAGCTACTATGGCAGATAGCCAGCTTTGTTTTGGTAAATTTGGCTTTGTATCTACAAAGTAAGTGAGACCGCAGTCTCCGTAAGTTTGTGAAGAAATACATTATTATTGATCTGGTAATTTGCCACATCAGTAAATGCCACCTGCTGATCATGTAGATATATAACAACATTCTAAACAATATAAGTTAGATATTATTATACAGCTTCAGTACTATGGCCTATGCATAATTGTCAATCTTGACACCTGCTCACATTTATATTAAGAGTGAGACACAGACTCTGGCAGCCCATGTCAGATGCCATAGCAATAAGCCAAAACCCAGGTTTTCCCGCTTCATTTTCTGTATTCTCCATTTCTTAGGCATTGGGATAGGCATCCATCATGAGTAATGGAAGATGGGTGGGAACGTGGAGGCCTCATCGTCCAAGGGGCCCCATCCTGGCCCAATATACGAGTCCAGGACCAAAGTACTACTTACAAGGAGCAACAGGTAAATAAGTAGAAAGAACCATATATTATGGGGGGGTGTTTGTTTTTTAAGTAGAATCAACCATGATGTTAATATATGCAGGGTTTAATCCAATGTGTTTGATGTCAGCCCTCTAATTCAGGTGAAACGCCTCAGTTTTGGAAACAAAAAGAAAACCTTCTGCAAGATCTCTTTCAAAATGAATGTAACATTTCTTTTGCAGCTCTTTCATTTAGATGAGATTTGTTCAGAAACATTTCCTGCCAAATGTCCCGGATGCATTAATATGATTTATTGGCCAAACTCCTCTATGCTAGTTGTGTCTGCAGAAGGCAAACAGTGTAACTCACAGCAGCTTCTTATTTTCAATTAACAAGCCCCTGTTTGGATTTTCAGACAGGTTTCTTACTGGATGATTTAAGGTTTTAGAAATCCCTGTCAAAAGAAGACAATCTAGCTACATTTCTATTATGCTTCTGTAGGCAGATGAAGATTTTTTTTCTTCTTCAGACAAACATGTAAGGGCCCCACTAGACAATACATTGGATGAAATCCTGTTCTAGTTAGCATAACGTTGTGACTGTTGTACTACATACCTGTGGAAGTACTGTGTGGATAGGACATCTGCCATACTGCAATTTTAACACCACTTCCATAGCTTCATGTTATACACATATACAGTCATGGCTAAAAATATTGCAATTCTGTCAGAAAATGCAACCTTTCTTTCAGAAAATTGTTGCAGTTGCAAATGTTTTGGTACTCACATGTTCATTTCTTTGTTTTCCGTGTGGACAACACAAAAAACAGAGAAGAAAAGTCAAATCTGATACAATCTCCTACAGAAGCCATGAATGAGTTTCTTACACCTCTCTACTGGAATTTTGGGCCACTCTTCTTTTGCAAACTGCACCAGGGCCTTCAGATTTGAAAGATGCCTTCTCCCAACTGCTGTTTTGAGATCTCTCCACAGGTGTTCTATGGGATTCAGATCTGTACTCATTGCTGGCCATTTCAGAACTCTCCAGCACTTTGTAATAATTTCTGAGTGCTTTTTGAAGTGTGTTTTAGGTCATTGTCCTGCTGGAAGACCCATGACCTCTGGTGGAGGCGCAGCTTTCTGACACTGGCCACTAAGTTGCATCCCCCAAATTCTTTGATAATCATCAGTTTTCATTATACTGTTCACACAGTCAAGACATCCAGTAACAGAAGCAGCAAAGCAACCCCAAAACATCTTTGAACCTCCACCATGTTTGACTGTAGGGACTGTGATCTTTTCTTTGAATGCCTCATTTCTTTTTCTGTAAACAGTGCCATGATGTCCTTGACCAAAAAGCTCTACTTTTGTCTCATCTGTCCACAGTACATTTTCCCAGAAGGATTGTGATTTTGTCACATAAATTTTGGCATACTCTATGTCTTGCTTTTTTATGCCTTTGTGTCACCAGTGATGTCCTCCTGAGTCTCCTACCATAGCGTCCCTTTTCATTCAGATGGCAACGGATAGTGCGAGCTGATACTCTTGTACCCAGTGTCTGCAGATCAGCTTGAATTTGTTGTGAAGTTAGTCTGGGTTCTGTATCCACTATTCAAATAACCCTTCATTGTAATTTTTCAGTAATTTTGCTCTTCCGTTCACATGCAGGGAGGTTAGTTACAGTGCCATGGGCTGTAAACCTCTTGATGCTTTGTGCACAGTGGACAAAGGAACATTAAGATCTCTGGAGATGGACTTGTAGCCTTGAGATTGTCGATGTTTTTCCACAATTTTTTTCTCTCAAATCCACAGACAACTCTTTACACTTCATTCTTTTCTCCATGCTCAGTGTCACACACAACACAAAAGCTGAGTCATCTTTTCTCCATCTTAACTGGTTGCAAGTGTGATTACTATATTGGCCACACCTCTTCCTTGCAACAGGTGTGCCTAAATACAAATTAAAGGAGCATCACATGCTTGAAAAGCAAGTACTTCTTACAATTTAGACAAGGTGTTAATAATTTTGGCCATTGCATTTTTTCATTGCTGTGTTGGATTGTATCAGATTTGACTTTTCTTCTCTGTTTTTTTGTGTGTGTGTCGTTCCAACACAAACCAAAGAAATGAACATGTGAGTACCAAAACATTTGCAACTGCAACAATTTTCTGAGAGAGGGGTTGCATTTTCTGACAGAATTGCAAATGTCAGATTTAAAGAGAAGGGTACTTAATTTAATGCATTTAGCAAAAGGAAGTAATTCTAAAGCTGGAGTATTATCGTTAGATATATTTAAAGCATTTGATTCAGTGGAATGGGATATGTTAAAGCTATTAATTAAATATTTAGGGTTTGGATCTAATTTTAGGCAGATAATTCACCAACTATATTCACAGAATACAGCTAGAGTAATAGTTAATGATGGAATAAC